GTTACATTTTCTACACTCTGTTAGTATTCAAATGGTTATATTAGATGTCTTCAGAAAACCTTTTGGAATAGAGATTTCAAAAAAAAAAGTTAAAAAATGTGTTTAAAAGTGTTAAAAGTTAGTGCACTGATGAGCAAGAACTCAACAGCAGTAGTATTCTTTTGCTTTAGCAATGATCGGTGATCTTCCTGTAGTCATACAACACTGATTTTTTTCCTTGAAGCTGTGATTGTAGTTAGGTACTCAACTAGGAGACAGCTTACAAGCAGAGTCAGCCCCTCTGAGTTAAATGATTTAGTAACACTGGTGCATTTGAGTGCTTGGCTGTTTCCTGATTGGAATGTTCAGAATTAACATTTTTCCCCAAAACCTACTGAAAGGCTTGAGTGTCTACATTAAAATTTAAAAGAAGAAGAGAAAGCAAAATAATTGTGAATCATAATTCTAATTCTACTTTGCTTGATTTTGGTTTTTTTTTGTATTTGGTAAATTGCTGTTAGCTAGTGTTGTCTTTTAAACATACCCCTGCTGTTTTGAGTTTAGGTAGAGATGAAATTTAATTCACGCCAATTGATTGCTGGTTCTAATTGTGTTTATAAATTCTTATGTGCATGTATTACAGATGCTGTTGTTGATCTTCTGTTTAGTTTGAGCATTACTGGAAAGAAAGGCTTGAACGTTTACATAAAAAATTGAAAGGACAAGAAAGCACAAAATAATTTTCAATCAGTAAACTGGGGGTGAAGGATGAACATAATATCTACATGAAATTTGCTTTATCCAAACAATTGATTTTTCTGTGGTGAAGATACCCAGTTGTTGTCAAAATAAAAAAAATCTGCCACCACCGACAAAAAAATCCATCCAAAACTCCACACATATGTCCACAGGACAAACTGAAGTATAATCATAGAGTCATAGAATCGTAAGAAGTTCCATCTGAACATGAGGAAGAACTTCTTCCCTCTGAGGGTAACAGAGCACTGGAACAAGCTGCCCAGAGGGGTTGTGGAGTCTCCTCTGGAGATATTCAGAACCCACCTGGACATGGTCCTGTGCAGCCTGCTGTAGGTGACCTTGCTTTGGCAGGGCGGTTGGACTAGATGATCCCCAGAGGTCCCTTCCAACCCCGAACATTCTGTGATTCTGTGATTTCCAAGGATAAAGTGATGCTATAATGATTTATGTTTCAGGATAAACTATTTTGGGTCTCTACATGTGTTAATAGACTTTGATTAATTTCTTGGGGTCAGCTAGAGAAATCCAGCTCCATGCCCGCTGGGCACCTGAAATTGTTGTGCAGTAACAACCCAGAAAGAGGGTTGGAGTGAGCTGATGTCCTGGTTCATTCAGGAGTGTCACACTAGATCCTACAGAGCTTGAAGGAAGCCTTAGGATATCACTAGCAGGGGATAAGTGGGCATGTCTGCAGACCTCAAATCCGGTTAATGGCGAAGGAGCTCCTCAGGCTATAAAAGCATATCTCCCCCTATTTGTACATGTGAATCAAGTCCTGTTTTATTCCAGAACTGAAAAAATGGACAGATACTGCACAAATAGAGCAACTTTTTTGTTTCTAAATATTTTCTGACTTTCTTCTATGCAAAGTGCATTGTGAAATGGAGGCTATTTTTATCAAACAGCTTTTTTTTTTTTAACTACATCAGTTTCACTGTGTGAGTCACCAGTTCTCTGTTACTTTTTCATCTTATTTGAGGTTTTCCTTCTCAGACAAAAAAAAAGCAGAAGAAAATAACACTAAACAGAATCACAGCTTGTTGTGGGAATGGATTTGGACAGATAGACTGTGTTGTTATGTCAGAGACATTTCAAGCTGGTTTTATGTTTTACAAATGAGTAGGTGACAAAAAAATTTCAATGTGTACTACAAATTTGCCCAGAGGGCAAGAGTTAAAGTCTGCAGTTATTTAAATTCAAGGACAGTTCATAACAGGCTTTCCTGTTAGTCTTCAGATAATTTTTTGCACTGTCAGAAGGACAGTTTGAATGGATGCAGATTTTCTCATCGCTGGAGCCTGCCAATTTATGACACGTGTGCATAATTACAGCTATATCCTCACAGCACCAGTGGAATATCACGCTTAATGTGCCCATCTTAATGTAATAAACACCAGGTTTTGTTTCTCTAGAATTACTTTGCATGGAGTACCTTTATTTTGTACAGCATGGAACAGGGACATTCTTTGTTACACATGAGGCCTAAAGCAATGAAGCCATTATGTGTGACTGGTTCTGCAGAAAAAAAATACATAAAATGATTAGAGTTTTGTGTATGTCTTAAAATAACATTGAAATGCATTTCTGAGTAAATTTTATTACGGTAAGGAAGATTTAATACATTATTTGGATAATCTCGATGAGATCTAGTCATAGCTAATTATGTAATAACCACATTAGTGGTCCGTAGCTGTCTTTTGCCTCACCTGTATGGTTCTGGTTTCTAAGATCCTGTATGTTTATAGGTACCCTTTGAGGGAGCTATCGGGGTAGTAAATGGAGGAAAAGAAAAATTAGGTTTTGTTGGAATAAGCCAATTGCAAAAGAAACCATTTTTTGTTGGCATTTTAATATAGCTATTATTAAGCAATGTGAAGAGGCCAAATATTATCACTTAACGTTATCTAATACTGTAGTATAGGCCAGTGTACTGTTACATGTACAAGCTATCCAGTGCTCCTGTGTTGAGCATCCTTATGGATATGTTTTTCCTTTCTCTCTTGCCTGCAGCTGTTTAACAGCTCTTTTTTTGTTTCTTTGCTTGCCAAGGAGTTTCTTTGGTTTAAGTTGCATCAATCCATTCTGTAGCTGTTATAGCTTGTTATAAGATTACATACTGGATTCCAGGAGAGTATTCAACAGTATATTTAGCCATGTGTAGGCAGACCCTAATATTTACACAAACTCATACGAAACTTGCAGAGGGGTGCTTGAATTTCAGGCTTAGAGCCAAGAACAGGACTGTCTTTTCCGTGTTCCTTTAGATTTACTGTTTCATTTTGAGAAGTTCTCTCTGCCTTAGTTCACATGTGTAAAGTAAGGTGATAATGTGAGTTCCTTCTCCTGTAAACTATCTTTCTTGCTATGAATTTTGCATTGTCTTAGTACAGATGTGGTTCATCTGCCTTTATTCAGAGTAGTCATATGCTGTACCCTGGGAGGGAGTGTTTGGAATCTGACAGTTACCAGAGTTCAACTGTATGTTTCAACTTCTAGGCTAATATTTTAAATTCTGATTATTTGGGGGAATTAATGTCTGTCTTTTAAGGGTATATTTTTTCATTATTCTTTAATGGAGAAAAATCAAAATGCTAAAATAGAAACTGAAATGTAACATGGTATTGAGCTTTGAATAGTGAACAAATGAATAGTTGTTTCAGTCTTGGAGAGAAAAAATATTATAATTTTTTTTCAAAGATGCTTGAAAGCTCTCCTGAATCATGGTTATCTGCATGTTTGCTGTTTTTAGGAGAAAGAAGGCACTGAACTGAGCTGTTGCATATGATCTCTATGAGTTTTATGTCACACAACTTTTAGCTACAGTATAGCAATGGAAGCCAAAGTGGTCTTTCATTCTGTAGCGGTTTTGCTTTCATTATTTACTGTTTACCACTGGGCGTGTAAATGGAGTACTAGTTTGACCAAATAAAGAGTCGCTGCCTTCAGTAATGACTTTCAGCTTTTTGCAGTTACCATGTGGCTTATACTCCTCAAAAATAGGCTTACTTTGAAATCAGTAGCATTAGGACCAAATTATTGGAAGCAGAAGTAGAAATTAAAGTCTCAAATGGGTAAGAAGGATTGATTCAGTGGCACAACTGCGGGCATCCAGTTTCATTTCAGATATACTCAGGTGCCCCCTCCACCTCTCTCCCACCTCTCTCTCCAGAATGTCAACAGATCTCCCATAAGGACCCCAGGGAATGGCACAAGCTTTTTATTCATGCACCAAAGTTAGCTAAAAACATTTCAGCTACTGATTACTTTATGTATATTCTGTGAGGATGTAAATGATAATGTTTTTAATAAATACGTAATAATAAATAAAAATAATAAAGTTTTTAAATGTGTGCTTACTTCCTGTGGCATGTGTTGTAGCTACCTGTAGATTGCAATCACAGTTGTTCAACTAGCTACTGAGTGAAATGCAGTTTTCAGGAAGGGCTTTTAATTATTGTGTGACAAGTTTTCTGTACCTTATAAAGGCACCATCAGTTGCATGTCTAATGAAAAATAGAGTAGAAAAAGGAGCCTGTAAGACTGGGAGAGATCTGACATTGTAGAAGCTACAAACAGAAATACAGGAGGTGGAGGAAATCTTGGAATAAAGTGCATAAGTTAATAAATGTTTGTAACTTTGGGAACCAAGCTACTTTTCTTCTTTTCTTGCAGTAAATGCTATTTCAGGATTGCTTCAGAGGATCTTAGATCTTAAGGAAAATATCCATAAGGCAAGATAATGCAGACTAATACAAGAAAGAGTGTACCAGACTTAGAGTTGTAGGTGTGTAATATCGCCTATACAGAGACTCATATTTAAATTTAGATTATGTGAAAGGTCAGAGTTAAAAGATACTCTGCAGAAGTTTTGGATTCAGAAGTTGTCATGTAGAAGCTGAATAATGCAGTCTTGTCCTGCACTGGAAGGCAGACATTATATTGAAGGATTATAGTTCACTTACAATGATATTGCCGAGTAAACCCTAGAGGGAAAGAAATGGAATTTCATTCCAGAGTGTTTCAAGTTGTATTTCTTTTGTATTCAGGTGATAAGGTAGACAACTAATTGTTGTTATTGTTGTTATTATTATTGTTGTTGTTATTATTTTATTACAATGGCAAGAAAAAAGAAGTAGTGGTCAAAAAAAATCAGATGCTTCAGTTCTGGAAAGGACAAAACTGATAGTGCAGAGTGGTTTTGTTTTTCTGTGCCTTCACTGGGGCAAGCTTTTCTCATTGTTTTTACTCTGGCTTTTGTGCAGGTGGTCGACCAGATTGACACACTGACATCTGACCTGCAGCTGGAGGATGAGATGACAGACAGTTCCAAAACAGACACACTCAACAGCAGCTCCAGCAGCACAACAGCTTCCAGCTTGGAGAAGGTCAAGGTGCAGGGCAGCACACCTCTCATCAAGCCACCTGCACACCCCTCTGCTATCCTCACTGTGCTGCGGAAGCCGAATCCACCCCCACCTCCACCACGACTGACGCCCGTCAAGTGTGACAAGCCTCCGAGGCTGCCTGCTTCGGCCAACCCTGTCAAGACTAATGGTACCCTGCTGCGAAACGGGGGCTTGGCAGTTGGGCCCAACCGCATCCCAAACGGAGATATATGCTGTACACCAAACAGTAATTTGGAGAAAGTTGTGATGCAGCCTCTGATGCACAGACCTGACAAAGAGCGGTGTCCTCAGCCGGGAGCAAGGGAACGGGTACGATTTAGTGAAAAAGTGCAGTACCACGGCTATTGCCCAGACTGTGATGTTCGGTATAATATTAAAAACAGGGAGGTGCACTTGCACAGTGAGCCTGCCCATGTTGTGGGGAAGCTGCCACACCAGTGCCCTCCTCTGCCACCTCCACCACCTCCGCTGCCTCCGTTTCCTCTGGAAAATGGAGGGCTGGGGATAAGTCCCAGTAATAGCTTTCCTCCTCCAAGACCTGCAACTGTGCCTCCACAAAATGCACCAAAACCCCAGAAGACTATTTTGAGGAAATCAACCACTACAACAGTGTGATGTATGCCACTTGAAACAACTCTTTGTTTTTTCCTATATATAAACATAAATAGGTAATGAGCACTTTCTACTTGAGCAATAAAAGACCCAATGTATTACTCCCTGTGTCCAGTGAAGTGGCATAAAAATCACATGGTAAGTAGAAAGAGGAGTGCTTGTTGATCTGACTCGTAGTCACCTAAAAATGTCATTATGGCAAAGGATACTGCAAAAATATCCATGTTTATTCATGTTTAGCTTGTAGATTGTAAACGTCTGTTGCAGTTTCATATCTGTGGCATGGTTTAAAAGACAGTGAAAAGAAAGTTCAGTTTGAAAATCAGTGGCAATTCGTGATAGCTTTCAGTCTATCTGACAGAAAGGAGTAACCACTGCTCCTGGGTTTAGTATTATTTGACAAAGCAAAACGGAGTGCTGGTTAACAGCTTTTGACTGAATTCTAGCAAATGCATTTTTCTCTGCCTGCATGCTTGAGCGAAGGCATGGTGTGTGGAGTGGAGCAATGGGAGGTGATCATCAGACTTTTAGGCAGCTTGATCTTTGGTGGGGAAGTAAAGAAATAATTGAAAGGAATGTTGACATGAGTTTGGAAAAATGAATTATCTCACATTTTGTTTCTCACTTGCGCAATGTGCCACAGCCAAGATGAAGTACAGAGTTTTCAGGTGAGCAGGGATAGTCCCATTCGGTTCCCCCCTACTTCCACTACTCCATCTGCAAAATGGTGCTAATATTTTATCTCACGTGTGATGGAGGTAGATAAGAACAACAAAGCGCAGTCCTGTGCTTTTCACAAAGCTACTCTCTGGTGCAAACCTCTTTTTGAAGGCAAAGAAAATTTTGCTGAAGGCCCTCAGGGACATCCACTTAATTCATGTAAAGAGCTTTGAAGTTGAAAAGCTCTGTGCAATTAAGAACCATTAACATGCAAAACAAGATATTTTACATGTTATCACATTTTGATGGTGAACCCAATTAATATTCTTACTAGTTGAAAAAAAATCCTCAGTGTTTTTAATTATTTTATGAAAGAACATTCTCTTATTCTCACAAAGAGAATTGGTGGGAACTAGAGTTAAAAAACATCCGATCAGTGAAGAAAATCTGATAATAAATCTGTTATTTACTGTGCCAAATTAATCTCAAATGGTCCAACAGCAGATGTTATATAAAAGCAGTATGCTTTTTTCAGCTGAAATGTAAAACATACTCTATGGCAAAACACGCAAAACTAGAAAAAACAGATTTTTACAAGTTCTGTTTACATGCAGTAATAACTATTAAACTGAAAAGCAATCTTCAAGGAGTTTCCCTGTATACACATTATAGTACATTTATGGTATTTAAACCAAAATAATAATAATTATAACAGAAATTCTAGCAGACAACTACCCTTTGAAAACCTTTGCAGTAAACAAAGATTGTATTTTGCGCAAATACATGTGTAGGGTCTAAAGTTTTGTGTTTTATTCCTTGCATAAAAGTGGCAAAGCAAGGAAATTGTCCTAAATGCATAATCATGCTTTCCCAGATGCTCCTCACATGCTTTTCATGATGCACTTTGCACTTTGTGTGGTTTGACTATACTTAGTATCATGAGAGCTTTTGCCAAGTGAAGTCCTAGTGCTTGCAGCAGGAGGCAGTAACTATGCACGTGTACACGAACGTTGCTGCTCAAATGAAGTTTCTGTCAACACAGCATCTCCCTTGCTCACACATTGAAAAAATTACATTTAAAATCACTGGAACAATGTGTGGACATAACCACATTGTGCATCTACAGGTTTTTCTTTTAAAAAGAAAACTTTTGCTGTTTTGTAGACTTTATCACTACTTTGGACATCGTATACCAACTGTTACAAGCTAGTTTAATATTATTTTCCTTCTTATAAGAGCTACTGTGTACAAGAAATTGTAGGATAATGCAAGTCAAACATTACATATTTTATGTATTTCTGTTTCATCTTAAATAAGAGAAAATAACATTGAATAATTTTAGGGAGGCAGGTCTGCTGTGTGTCTTACCTCACTTGGCTCAGTGTTTCCACTTTACACTCATCTCTGATAGCAGAGCACTGTATTGCTCCTCTGGATTCTGTTCCTGCGCTTGCCAGAGTCTCATGAACGTATTAGTGCCTGCAAATTAGATGCTGTACTCTAGGGATGTCCACTGATACACATGTAAATTTCAGCTTTGTTGCAGTGTGAAGTTTACAGTTCTCAGCTCTGAAAAGTTTAAGTGACATCTGACTTTCAGCATTTCATGTTCAGTTTTGGTATCCAGCATCTTCCAGCCCACACTTGATCCTCTCTTCACAGGCACTTTCTTGTCTCTTTCCCCATGCCTCGTTTCACAAACTACTGCCCTTCTATGTGCATTTTCACGGGGGCAAAAGTGCTATGCTATAAAACCAACAGTTGCAGCTTCTCAAATGCAGTACTGCTTTTGGCAAGAAATGCAGTTTCCAAATGTGAAGGAAATACATTGTTTTTCTACAGTTTGCTAACCCAGACTTTCTTTAATGCACCAGTGTGTTTCAAGGTCTCTGTTAAATTGTGCTATGAATGATGAATTGATTCTTCTGTTTTAATTAGAACATCTGGCCTGTGTCCTATTGTAAGGTAATTTTGTCAGTATAACAATTTTACAATAGTCACAGGACAGAATAAAATTGAGGTTAAAACAGGTAAACTTGCAAAGCATAAGAAATAACTATCTTTCAGCTTTGCAGCACTGTCTGGAAACTTCTAATAGAAATGGCATAAAAAAGAATGCAGTACTATATTCAGCCAGCAATGTGTTTTTACATTTAGATTAAGAATGTAGTCTCTGTGAAGTGTTTTTAAACACCTAGAACATAGCATATTTCACACCTTACTGAGGAAAACTAAGCAGAAGCAGACAGGAATTGTCTGCCTTTGAAACCTAAATGTGATATCTTTGAGGTTAAACTTAGTGTTTTGCAAAGATGTTACTACCTGAAAAACTGAAAGGCCAGTAACAGTACTCAGACCTTTAATTCAACATTTACCATAATTTCAGACTGCTGCTCTGTTTTGATTCCCCAAAGGTATTTTAAAGTCTGAATTGTCCAGATCTATACTTCTCAAACAGAAGAAAGTGGTTTCTTTCAATTTAATGAAGGGGACGAGCCTAGGAAAATGGAAATAAGCAATGAAAAATTCTTAGTTTGTAATAATGACATTGATTAATAAAAGCTAGCATATGGATTGTTCATGAGAAAGGAACACTAGGAGAGTAAAATCCAGTAACTATCCTTTTTAAGCACATAAGGAAAGAATTTTCAAAGAGATCGTGGATCTTTTTGTCACCTAATAAAAGTCAGTGTTCTTCTTTCTTGCTTGTCTTCTGGAGTTGTTACACCTTTCATCACACCATTCATCACATCATCCATTGTTCATAGTTACAAGACAAGGTATTAAATCTCATCCTCCTTTTTTATTACTAAATCAATATTTTATTTAAAATGTTACATAAAGTAAATGAAGTAGGCTACAGCCCAGTCTTTTGTGATGCTGAATCTTTGGAAATTTTGAAGCAGAGTTCTCTTATTGTAAAGATCATCAGTCTCCTGTCAGGTTGTAAAAATAAGGTGAGAATCTCTCATGCAGGTATGACCAAGGGGAACTGGAACCTTTCAGTTTTTGCAGGACTGTTTTTGTTATTGCAGGACTATGTCTCTTTTGTGGTGTGAAAATGGTTTTTTATAAATACATGAGAAAAAATTCAGGTCTGATCCAGTGAAAGAAATAGAACATAAATTGCACCTGAGGGCCAGCCAGCAGCAGTGCTTTGAACAATGAGTAAGACCAGGACCATTCTGCTGCCTTGCTTGGGGAAGATAAAGAGTGGAGATCCAGAAATTGCTGTCTCTTCTTCTTAAAAGAACATTTTTGTTCTTTCATCTTGAAGTTTTTGATTTATATACTAAGATTCTTTAAGGAACTGAGCTCACGCTGCTGCACTATTAATTGTAAATTATGTTCATAATAAGAAATCATAGTTTTGTAAGTGTTTTCCGATCTCAGATGTGTCCCTTTATGTTGTTTGCCTGATCTTTTGGCTGACTTCTTATGCAATCTTGCAAGCAATAATGGAAAAAAATAATTTACATAAGAAGGGAAAAGTAATAGGCAAATTATGGAAAAAAAGAGGAACTTTGAACAAATATGTTTAGGTATATTCTTCAGCAGTGCTTGCATAATGATGATTACATTAATCCCAGAGCTTGTTTTTCTTTAAGTAGGGTTATGATTGTTACTTTAAACTTAATCTTCAATCACTTTAAGCATAAGAGAACAAGAAAAAAGTCAGTCAGTGGCACATTTTTTCATAGGAGTGTTTATTTCCTTTCCAGTTCAATGTTGCCTTTGCTAAGTAAAAGTTATTAATGCTTGTCAGTCTCCTTCCTGGATAAATTAGCATGTGAAATACAGAAAATGATGATAATACCTTTTTGTATGAATCTCTAATGCCTAGAGAATATTTTGTTTTTCATTTTTTGCAAATACAGTGATGATTGTATACAGGAGCTACCACTTACATTATCTTCTGTCAGCAAGGAGTAACTAACATACTGTAATTTTAATGGATTACTGTTTTCCTTCATTTTCACAATTTCAACATGATTACATGGTTCACCGTTATAATGTTAATTTTGGGCTTCAGACCCATATGAGACAAAACATTGTGTTTAGCAGTCATTAAGATGAACACCAATGGCAGCTGACTTCTGAAGTAAAGCCAGTGTACTTTCCTCATACCCACTGCAAAAGGATTGGTTGCAGAATCTCTCTGGTACTACATAAAAAGCTGTTTGTATGTCTGTATGTTCCACTTTCATCCTTGTTTATAAAAAACATTCCACAGTGACATCTACTTTGGTAAATCATAGGTTTGAAAATATTTTGTATTAGGAAATACTTATTTTTTGAAGATAATACAACGCAGAAGAAAACGCTCACTGATTCTCACAATATTATGTTATTTACTCCTATGAGAAAACTATAGAGCAGGTATTTCTCAATAGTGTTTGACAAGACATGTATGAGGAAAGGCACTTATGCTACTGTGTAGTAATTGTTACAGATGAAAATGCATTTCTTTT